CACTCACACACACATAGACACACACACTCACACACATAGACACACACACACATATAGACACATACACACAGACACACACTCACACTCTCACAGTCAGACACACACTCTCTCACACAGACACACACACACACTCACTCACTCACTCACTCTCACACACACTCTCACACACACACACACTCTCACTCAAGAGATTAATTATTCAATACTTCACCAGAAAATATACTTCTGCAAGAAAAAATTAATTTCCGTTTATATATACTGCGGGTAAAATAAATATTTTAAAAAGGTTAAATCTTCATCATCCTGGTACTGTAGGTGTTGGCACTGAAGCTAATATTAATTTCCACTGACGAGGGCAGGATTGCTTTCTAATTACTGATAGATTTCAGCTGGTGTCTTGGCTTTCCATGGCTTCTTGCACCTCCCTTTCTTCATGTGTTCAGTACTTTTCCCCTGTGTCATTCCATTGTATTACACATAACTTAATTTCTGAACTTATTTGTTTGTTTTCTTTGTATGTATGGATTAGTTGGGTTGTTACCGACATCTGGTGAATATTTCGAGTCAACAGCACCTTCAGAAATATATTTACAGAAAAACTGTGACATGTTCAATACTTATTTTACTTGCTGTATATATATATATATAGCTTAAAATAAACCCTCGGTTTCCATGGCAACAGCAGCAGACACACTAAAATGATTCTTATGCTGAAATATTGTATTAAAATAAAACCTGCCGCCGAGTGAACGTCATGAATGAAGAATTCTGTGTTTAATTAGATCGTGACAGAATAAAACGCTGTATTTCTGTCAGATGAAGAAACGCGCTGATCTCGCGGACTGACGAGAGTTTATCTGTGACACACTGAAGATCTTCACACGCTTCTGCAGTTTGAAACGCGAGAGTTTATAGAGTTTGATGAGGTTTGTTTACCATCCGAGTGTCTCGCGCCGCTTCCCCGCTTCAAATCGCGCCGTGACCGAAGCGGAAACACGTCATCAAACCGCCGCCGCAGCACAAAACAAAATAAGGGCATAGAAAATAATAATAATAATAATAATAAACATTACAAGCAAAGACACTTCATCTAAAACCAATGAGCTGAAGATAATAAAAGCTGTAAATCAGCTGGTAGTATTTTGGACTAATAACGCTACAAAAAAATGCAAAAGAAAGAAAGAAGCTGAAATGTGTGTTCAAAATTCTTTATGAAAGAAAAAAAAATTCTGAAAAAAAAACAGAAGGAGTCCAGAGGGAAGAGCTTTATTCATTGTTATTATCTGGTTCGATTTTTAGCCCCTTTGAGCAACAAAGCAATAAACCATGTTTTTCTGTTAAGAACAGAATTCATTGGATAAATAATAAAAAGACGATTGAATGTGATTTTTATGCTGTTTGTCGTATGTATCTGCTTGGTCAATGTCTTTGTTTTCTGGGTTTCTTGCTGCAGTGTCTGTTTGAGACTCTTTGAAACATCTGAAATAATAACTACTGTATTAAGCTGAAGATCTGTATTAATAAAAGCGCTTATCATCTGTCAGCCAATCAGAAACAAGAGCATGACTCAGTTAGAGAAACTGTAAATGCAGTGTTTTACAGTGTGTTGACTCTCTAGTCTCTCTGACGGAATTCCCTCAGCATAAACAACACAGTGCAGATACGATGTCAATGTGAGCGATTTTGCGCCCTATGAAAGAATATTGGATTGAATTATGAACATAGACTTTCTGTACCACACTATTCTGCTGATATGGAATGAGTTTGACTACTTAATCAGTTATATTAATAGAAATGCTTCACTGGGGCAAACAAAAAAAATCCTAAAATCATAAATAGGATACCCCATAGCAGCATTTCCAGCAGTATCCCACATTTCTCAATCATGATCTTACTCAGCTAAATGTGACTATTAGCTTAAGAGCTGTATTTCTCGTTTGCTAGCTACCTATGCACATACAGCATACAATGTTAAAAATGTTCTACATTATGAACCTTAACCCAAAAACCTTTAGCTTCACACACTGTAGGTAATTGTGACCCTGCCTGAGGAAACCCAGCTCAAGTATTTTTTTTTTTTTAAAGTGGATGAGTAATTCACTCCTTTGATTTGCTTAATAAAAGCCTCCTTTGAGATCGTTTTGACAGACATGTTTATTGTGTATTATTTTCAACACTACATTTAGTGTGGCAGAATAGAAGCGCAGCCGTAATCCGCGTGCAGTGTATCTGGTTGCCTTGACAACCTCCCGCGCCTCCTGCTGCTGCTGTATGTAATCAGAGTGTGGATTTGTAGATTTTCTATAGCAAAACTAACATGTGTTTTTGCGTCCGGCTCGGTTTGAGGAAAAACCGGCTCATGAATGAAAAAAATGCCCCTGGAAATCAATTGCCCCTTAATGGAAAAGTTAATTTCTTACCCTGCTGTGAAATGATCTGTATTGTAAAAACATACAAATAAACAGGAATTGAACTGAACTGCAGAGAATGTCTTTAATCATGTTCTCATTTCAAACACACACTGAATCTGATGTAACGAGTTACTGAGGAATAAACCAGAATGAATGAAACTGAAGGAATGATCCTGGACAGTGTCCTCACACACACACACACACA